ATAAACTCATCTTCTATGTCATTTATCGACAGATAAATATTTTTTCGATTTCTGATTGGTCGGAGGATTGGTAAATACAAGTACATACCACAATCACAAGATTGTCCTTTTTTCCGGGATTGTGATCTATTTGAAGAGGTTCTTTTTGTGTGGTAAAAATTAGATTTATGATTCTCGTGGTATTTCGTCTCGACATCGACTCGTTAATGAACGACAGTTTTTACGATTCCATGACGCCACCCATGGTAAATAATGATATTATGATATTTAGATATTTCAACAATTCTCATAATTTTTGCAAAAGGCTGTATGATTCGTAGAATCGGAATCTAATTAATAGCTTTATAAAAACGTTGGCCAAGAGATTGATTAATGAGCGACCGAAAGTTACTATGGGTAACATTTGCTATGGGTATACATTTGCTCTTGCTTCAGTGCTACGGTAGAGAAACAAAATGAACGCTTGACATAATGCTTTCAACTAATAATAAACCATAGCTTTTCTCATGAAATCCGCCAATCAGCGCGCATGTTAGAATTGAGCTGTAATATAATGTGCAGTAGACTCATTGCAAGCATTGGCGTACTGCACCCCTTTTCTCTAGACATCATGATTTCTTGATGATTCCACACTTTTAGTGCTCTTGTTTTAGCCATACATGACCAGGGTCGACTAGATTTGTCATATTTTTATTCCATGGTAAAATAAGCAAATGCTGGATAAAAGATAATTTACAATACAAAAAAAGAATGTCGATGGTAACATTATCACTGTCGTTAGCTTGTACGAGTCACTGTACAATTTGGCGCGAAATTCTCGTTCAGAACAAGAATAACCTGTATGTCTATGTATCAAATAGAAATTGAAATATTATCACCTACAATGCATTGCTGTCGATAGCAATCAAATGTCCAAATTTGAACAACAGTTGTCCCTAAGATATCAAGGAGCCTTGCGYGGAGTCATGACTCGGGATGATTCTGCGGGTACAACCATGGGTCTTTCAGCAATTGTTCAATTGTTATTCGCTCTGGAACRTTCCATGTAAGCATCTTACAAATAATTGCTTTTGCAGAATCGGATAATTTGACACGAGATGGAAATGCTACTTTCTTGTGAACCTGTTGCAGTAAGCTACGCAAGTTTGAGTCATCGAATGGTAGTCTGCCGCATAACATAGTGTACAGAATAACGCCCATGCTCCATACATCAGCTAATGTAGCGTCGTAGGCTATACCTGTAAGATAAGCAACAAACAAGTTATGATCTGATCGAGCACGGCTGACTCGCCTAAGCCTCGTGTCTACAGGCAGACAAAATAAAAAGTCCAAAGAGAGAAATGTCTGAGCTCGTGATTGCGTGAAATCAAATTACGCGAGGACTTTGTGAGTATCACCATGAAATGCAGTGACCGTGCGGACTMCTGTCGATGTACCGCGCAAACGTGGTTTACGCTTTATTCTCCGTTTAATCAGTCACTAGTGAAAACTAGCATTAAAAACCATTATTAATAAACCGAGGGGATGTGGATATTTCAATCAATAAAACAGATATATGCAGTATTKTTTCTCACCTTTAAGGATCTCAGGAGGTGCGTAAGCGTAAGATCCACAATATGTATGGCTAAGTTTCTTTTTACCTGTGGCTGTTACAATGCTATCCTTCGCAAAGCCAAAGTCCGAAATTATGAGATTCATTTCTTTATCAAGTAAAATGTTTTCACATTTTAAGTCCCTATGAACAATTTCATTGTCATGGATGTACGATACTCCACTGACTAGTTGTTGAAACATATCTTTGCCGCGGTCTTCAGACAAAGCGCCGTGTGAACGTATATACTCTARTAAATCCCCGTTTGCTGCCAGGTCTGTGATAATGTACATACGAGTATTGGTCTCTATAACTTCTAATAGTGACAAAACATTATTATGTCGAATCTTTTTAAGTACTTTTATCTCTCTCGGAAGAAACTTGGTGAGAAAGTCCTCAGGTGCTTTTTTCTTGCATATAATTTTTATGGCGACTTCTTTTTTGTATCTCCTGGAGTTTGCTTTCCTTACAACGGCATATGAGCCTTTTCCTAGGAATTCTCCAATTGCGTATCCATATCTCTCTAATAGCGCACTTACTCCCACCAGCGAACTATGATGGCCATCGGATTTCCCTTCTTCTGCTCCTTTCTTTTTACCTGTCTCTGCTCCAGGGGTCTTTTTTCCTCCCTCTTTGGTCATTCTACTCTAATKTACACTGGTAATATTCCAAAAAGTCCTAATCATGAATATCCTAACCAGTTTTTTTAGCATTACAGCGTTACAAGAAAAAAATACCACGCGCAAATTGGGTTCTGTGACGTCATTATTTGTATTCTGGAAATGCGTGACATCATTAATTAACCATCATTTTTTAATGAGAAGTTTATTTTTCGATTGCACTTTTTTATTTGTCAAAAGGAAACAAAAAAGATTTAATAGCGAATATTTCTGCATCAATACCCGCCAAAAGTCAAATTGTTATTGTTTATATCCGTTGCTATAGAATCCAGTCATGCGTGGTCACGCTCTTATGAGYACGGACATCACTCAATTTTACATGCGAACAAGAACTTCTTCTACTTCAGAAACTAAAAAGAAAACTGTATCCACAGCTGAGACGAARAAGAGAAGTTCTTCTATTGCAGAGCCAAAGAAGAAACCTAAAAAGWCTCAAGAAAAACCCTTACGATCTTCCAAACCCRTTAAGATGTCCGAAGAACCACCGAGAATTCAAAGACAGCAACAGGCGCCAAAGACAGAACTGGATTTCGAAATCGAAAAGCTAAAAGCTGAGTTGCAGCAAGAAAAACAGATGAAGTTAGTGTAATTTATATATATGATGATTTGAATGTTCCATTTATGAAGTCTTGAGTGCAATCAATTGACGCTGTACAAGTTATAAATTGATACTATTTTAATATATTATTTATTATCATTCAGTATCTTGTAGTGGAATATTGAACTGAACATTTACTATCCCATTCCATTATTAATCTCTAAGATTACTATTACATTTCTGTTAGATGGGCAATAAAGCCTAGTATGCTCTAATGCAAATATACTGGTGAGTGATCGAGTAAACACTTAGTAATTAAGTTACCTCCTAATATGGGAAATGTTTTTCTTGAAGAAGGGMGCACTGAGCAAGGGGGAGCTGAGGAAGGGAAGGGGGTGCATATAACACTCATCAGTATAGTGTCAAGCAGCAAGTTTTAGAAATAAAATTTATTTTAACTACAAAATATCAGATTATTGATGTGTCGTAATATGTTTTTCATCATGTAGAGACATGTTAGAGGAATCATCACAAGAATTAGAGAAAACAATTTCCGAGATGCAAGGAAAATATGATACAGTTGAGAATGAAGGTCAGAATTGAAAGTCATATGTATTTCATATTGTAGGTGCTTCCAATTCTTTTGTCTGATTTAAGATAACGAATGGAAGACACGATTCGAGACACAACAACAAATGAACAATCAACTAGAGAAGCAAATTCTTCTTTTACGAGACAAACTAGAACAGATGAAAATTCCATCAAGGGATGGTTAGTAAAACTTATCAAATCTATGAAAGGAATATTCTATAATAATAGACCAATCCGTATTCGCTTGGATGAACACGGAATGGCTTCAATGGCTTCATTTCGAGGCTGGAGTTTTACTAGTATCTTTTGTCGAAAATGCCAGCCTCGAAATGAAGTGATTGTTTCATGTTCATCTAATGATATGACATTAATTCTGCACTTTGTCACAAAATATTTAGCTGGGTGCCATTCACTTTTATTAAAGTCTGGCTTGTRCTTTTCCATCACTAAAATGTACATGAAAATACAGGTATCGTTTTGCAGTTTGAATGCAATTTAATGAGTTTGCAGTTTTGTATCTATGACACATTAATGGAAAAAAAACATAGTCTGGTTCCAAAAGATTATCTTCATTGAAGCTAAAACCAAAATGGAGCAAATTTAATGATTATTAATTATAGAATAATTGTCAAAAGATTGTCTGCACTGAGTAAAATGACCCTCTATGACTAATATGCTATCATATAACATGTCTAGGTAAATATAATACGTACTTGGCCTCTACAAAGTTTATTCAGTAGGGTGTAAAGTACAATTTTATACATTGATTTACATCCTTACTTCGCTCTGTTATTTTATTTCCACAGGGAAACCAAAGCACATCAAAACATATAATGGCCTAAATGATGTGAGTACATAAAAAGGGAGACCCTGAATGCCTATTTTGGTTATTAAATCARTCTAACATTTTCTACAGGCAGAAATAAGAAAGCTAATGAGGCAAATGGAACGGGACAAAGCAGCTCTTGAGGGACAGTTAAAAGATCTGGAATGGAGATTAGATAATGAATCCAAGGTACAATTTTCACTGAAATGTAATATTTTCTTGTGTATGTTTTCTTCAATAACAGCAATTTGTCCATCATAGTAATTCAGTTGGAAGGARATATTTGGTAGAGAAAATAGGAGGAAAAAGGGGCTCAGAAAGCCTGGAAAAAACCTCCAACCTATAAGGCTGATAAGCTGACCCCCATCAAAGAAATTTTAGAAAAGTCTTCCTGGRACAAATTTGCTCCATAATGTATCATTATTAAAAACAGAAAAACTGCAGTTCCCACTTTGCGCACTTTTCTATATTTCTATATTATTTTCATAATAAAAGTCATAAAAGTATTATTTTAATAATAAAAGTCTATTTTATTAAAATAAATGTTGCATTTACATTGAGCAATCTATCTGATGTTGATCTTTTATTTTCTTTTGTATAGGCATATCATAAAATAACAGAAGAAAGAAATAAGTATATCACTGAGCTCCATGAGGTAATTGCATCATGAAGACAAATTTGACAATATAATGGCAGTGAATTGAGTTAAAATGCAGTACTATGTTCTGTTCAGGCAAATTCTGTCATTGATGACACAAAAACTAAAAGACGTCAGGCTCTCAATGATGCTCAGAGACAAAGTGATGTGCAGTTAGGAAGAATTTCAAATTCTACTTTGCAAAAGTAAGTGCTGTTGATAGAAATTTTCWTGTACAAGCCCAACTGCTGGTTCTCCCTTCAATGCAAAAGCATTGCCCCGAGGAACTCMGGCAATATTAACCATATAGGTATGTTTTGTTTCAAAGGGTATGGTGTTCAGCTTTTGGACTAGGTTAGGGTATCAACTTTGACATTTTGTCTGGGATAGGGATGTACAATTTTCATCTGACATAAAGTGTTGTGATTTAACCATTTTAGTCTGGAAAAAGGCAATGTTTTCCTGCTGACACAAAAACAAAATTCAAAATGGAGAAGATATTGAGCTAAAGGTGTACAATTTTTAGGTTAAGTTTGAAATGAACATTTTAGGTCTGGGATAGGGTCGRGGTTTTGGCAGCAATAATTCCTACATGTACCCAGAATGAATCGGCATTTCCCAATGGGTGGTTTAAAAACAGTTCCTGCAGTTTTGATTAATAGCATTGGGGCAAATTATAACAGGCCAGGAATGCAAACTTTAACAGTAACAAAATATAACATTTCATGTTACAGGGGAGCTAATGTATTTGGTTTGCCTGATAACCAAAGGATTCTGGACCCTAAGAAAGGCCCAGTCAAGAAAACTGCTGCAGTCAGAAAACTGCCAAAGCTTGACAATCCTAGTCAAAGTCCAAGATGATCACACTAATGTTTATTCTAAATAATATAGGTGAAACATTACATACTTTGTATATATAACATGTACATATTAATTTTTATTTATTTTATTCAAATCACTTAATGCTAACTAAAAGCAAGTGCTATTTTTTTATAGTTTGTAATACAAAATGCAGTATAAAAAATAGAAATTGAAAAGTAGATTAAATATTTAAATGAAAAATGTGTCCTATATGGTTGGGTGAGACTTATAATAACCACCCCTCTCAGTTATAATCTCCAGAAGAATCATTCAGATTCATTATTCAACTCTACAGCTTATCAAATTATAGAACTAAATAATTATATAGCCACATATTAATCCCAAATAGGTAAAAGCTGGAAAACTCGAAAAATTCCTCTGACTGCCAAATTGGACTCGGCCACGGCCTCGTCCAATTTTTGGCAGTCCTCGGAATTTTCCTCGTCCAATTATTTCTTAATTGGACAGCATGGAGTCCTATTACATATAAAAATGAGCATAGAACTGGAATATGTTGTACAATTTACAAAACCTACAAAGTCTGAGCATGATGATATTTACAAAATGAYTTTACAAAAAATGAACATCTTAATACTAGTATGAAATGTTAAAAATGATTGCATCTCCTGTATTTTAATGTTGTTGATAAATATTTACTTATTAACAGCTATAACTTTATGCATACCGGGTTCGCGCGCCTTGACATCAAGCCTATGACTGACAGCTTGTCACACAGCATTCTAGCATATATAATTCTGGGGTAATATTGATGTGGTACACCATAAAGTGATAAAAACCATCACATACATTATGGACATATACATGTATTCACAAATGAAGATCTGCAGTGACCTGATTTTGTGCTTAAATGTACTTATTTATTCAACCTTTTTGTACAATTTAAAGAACCCTACAAAACAGGACAATAGTGAAATCAAGGCCAACTGAGCTGTTAGTTTGACTCCAAACAGTGTAAAGCCTGCTTCACAGCGACGGCAGTAATCCATCAATACCTCAACTTGTGGCAACTCATCTGGACACCATCTTCTATTTATGTTACGATACATTGATTCAAACTTTGCGGTCACTCTACTTGCTGCAAGAATAGGGAAAGCAAAGTTGAAAGCAATAAAAAAAGATCCAACGGTCTGTGAAAGTACAACAATTGCAATGTCATTGTAATGTTTCTTTCCTGAAAATGCTGTAACCCACTCAAAAGAAACAGAAACAATGATGAACATGAATAGTAAAGTATGGATGCCAAACCACAACTTCATTGACTTCATAACATTCTCTGCATATGAGAGTAAACAGTCGTGATACTGCCTTGCCATCAGATAATTCCTTGCTTTCTTCACAATKATTGTTTCTGTGTGTTCAATGTGTTGCATAATATCTTTGCAGCAAATGTAAAAAATGCAACAGGCAACCACAACACTGAAAAATCCCCAGTAAATAACTGCACAGGARCCATAGTACAAGGCCCTTCTCCAGTCATGTATATTAGCAGTGAAATCATGAATACCAACAAAGTCAAAATACACATTCAAACCAAAGGATACATATAAAACAAGTGCAACACCTACAACACCAAAGAACAGAAGTATGTTGGCGTGTTTCCAGTCATTGCCTTCTGGTCCAACATCTATTTGGTATCCCTCTGGCATGTATTCAAAATGTGGTACAAGTCTTGTTTTTGAGTGACTGAAGTCATTGCATGGGTTATARAAATACCAAACCATGAGAGTGAATGACACAGTTTGAGARATATTCAGTGGTATGATAAGTAACAGTGTTTCWATGGGGATCTGTGGTGTGTAGTCACTTGATCTCCAGTATGTTTTCACACAGTATAATTGGAAGGAACAAGAAAACCAAATGAAAAGGACCAGAATTCCAGACAGTAAGGTATGAAACAGCCGCGCCGGTCTGGCTTGTCTTGCACCAAATACTGGAACACCAAACATGATGCATGCAAGACCCTTCAGGATTTCCTCTGATTTTACGAATTCTATTAAATACACAACAGTGATTTGCAATTATTAGTTATTTTCTTTACGTGATACGTAGATGTAATAACAATAAGCCGAAGTGAATTGAAAACAGTCAAAAGAAATGGAAACAAGGAACGTGTAGGAGTAAAGATTGCAAATATATAAACGGCTCCCGTTTAGCTAAAATATCGAACTTCGCTTGTGTTCAAATAAAGGTCAATTCAGGCTCTTTTTTAAAAACATTTTTCAATTCCTAAACTCTCAGTTCCGGTGTATGGCTTATGCATGTATTATTTCACTGTTGCTGTTTTAGTTTCTTGCAACATTCTTTTTGACGATTTACTTTTTCTGACAAATTGAGTTATTAAACTGTTTAAAAGTTATATTATTGTGATATAAACTGCCTCGTACTTCTTTTTCCCCATTTCCGGTTATTATTAACACTTCAGTCGTGACCTGCATCTTAAAGACTTAGAAATATCAACAAAGAAATTCACCACCCTGAAATCTTAATATCTGTAAGATGCTCTTTAATTTGTTATGCCATTTTCTTGCCAATTAATTACTGTATGGCCTTTTTTAATGTTATTTTGATTATGTTTTTGAATTCCACAAAAATTTTCAGAGTGTCAGCATAAATTCGCATACAGCGTGATATTAAAATGATTCACTGTAGAAATTAACTCACCAAAAACTGCCTCCATAATGTGCCACTTCTTTTATGTAGAAATTATTATAATTTGGAAATCTGCAGTTCGATCTCTGTCGCTAYACGCCGAACTGTCGAAATATGCCCCAGCACAAAAACTTAATCTAGATATACCCCAGGATTCCATAGGCGTTTGATTCGAATTCTTGGAAATTTCTTCATGTATTACCATGGGAGACCTCACATTGAAGGAAGGGCGTAAGGAGGAGGATGCTTTTAATGTTGAAAGTTTCAAATGCAAGCAACTGCATAAAAAGGTCGAGTAGAAAAATACTGCGCATATTCGCTTACTATATAATCAACGAAACGAAACGAAACGGAAATCTGTATTCAACCGAAACGAAACGGGAATCTGTATTCAACGAAACGAAACGAGATTCATTCTCTAGATATACAACAGTTTTTGACAAATCTTTAAGAGCGTAGACACATTATAAAACATCACGCACGGCAATGCAAAAGTGAGTCAATCCGGCTAGTTTGCGGTAGTTAAGGCTACCAAACCTCGTCGCTCAATATGTCTTTGGTTTTTGTATACTTGTACTGTCACGTGACACAAAGTAAAAATATGGATCGAGACTTATTATAGTAAGGGACGGACCATTAGATTTTTGAGGGGGGGTTGGGCAATTTTGGGTGTGCTCGAATTTTTTTTTTACCTCCGTGGGTGTGCAAGAATTTTTTTAACATGACTTGCTTGCAGGAATTTTTTTTCTTTTCAAGACATTTAATATATTACTTTTTTTACAGAAGTTTTCGATTAAAGTTGAGCCATTATACTAGTCTCATTTCAAATTGTTGCTTTTAACACATTATGTGTCATGTCATTTAATAAGCCAGACTATGATATTTTATTAAATTCAAAGCAAAACATGTTTATGATACTAGTGTTTGCTTTCATTTACAAAAACATATACACCTACTTGCGAAAACGTTGTCATAAAAAATAGGGTATTTGTATTTTATTAAAAAGGAATAAATTAAAAACACAAAGGAAGATCACTGAGGCTGGACGC